CCCTTATCAAACCTATATTCCGAAGAATCTCCTTTATGTCCGCAAACATGAAAAAGATGATTAATTTAGTTCAAGACAACCTGCCCAAACCCTTAGTCGATCTATGCACACTCACTGGGCCTATGACTAAATGAATCAGCCAATGTATGTACACTGCGAAGCGCCTATCCCTATATATCCCAATTCGCCTATTCTCTAAAATTACGGTTTTCGGAAGTCAAGGATGCTCAACGTTGGAATGGAGGTTTGAAAAGAGAGACTACCTTTTTACAATGGTATTGTCCGTATATTACGCAAAGCCTGATTTATCTCACAGAGCCGTAACTATTAAGGGGGGAAGGGAGGGTTGGGCCTCTCCCTATCTCTGGGCCCCTAAAATGAAAAAAAAAAGAAAAGAGGTCTTTAATATGTAATATGGGCCCCCTAATATGAAAATTGTGGTTACGACTCTGTCTCATTATAGTAGTAGATCATTTTCACTTTGCGCGCTTTTATTGAAGTTAAACAGCTATTTTAACTTTTCCTAAAATTTATGACTGCGAGAAAAAACTTTTTTTCTTGCAAATGAATTTAAATTCGCGTAATTTATAAATGATCTAAAAGAGCTTATAATAAAATGAAACAATTTGTTGAGATTTTATTTCATAAAAAATTGCATTTTTTATGTTTGATTTAGCTAACTATTTGTATGAGTAAACTAACCAGACATAAAGAAAACTTCAAACTTTTTTATGTTTATAGTCAAATAAAATCAAATAAAGATGCTTTTCAAAAAAATTGCGATGAATAAAGCCTAGGAACAAAAAAGCCCTAAAATTTGAAATTCTTTTGCCCCAAACGTAAGAGTAACAAGTTAATAAAAAAAAATTTACTTTTTTTTAAGTAAATTAATATTCCTCAATAAGTTGTAAACTTACTAAAACAGTTTCATAAACGTAACAAACGCAGTAATAGCAATAATAATTATAATATTAATAGTAATTGTTTACAACAATAACACTAATAAAAATAATAATGTTAAATATAAAGATAATAATATCTTAACAATAACAAAAAGGGCATAGTGGTGGTCGGAGTACTATAAATAATTATATTTACCTATATTTATACATTCAGTCACTCTCAAACACACACCCACACACAAAGACACGCCCATATACATATACATATATACACACATATATATGTAATAAATAAACACATGTAAATAAGAATATTTATATATATATATATATATATATATTTATATGTATATATATTTATATATATACATATATATATACATATATATACGTACACACATAAACATATTCTTACATGCACAGACATATATGTACAATGCATACATGCCTATAAATACACAAACAAGTTCATACACGCATACAAATATGAAACAGAGGGATAAGGAGTCGAAGGAAAGGTAAATGAATAGCTTTACAAATAAAGAAAACTAAAAACTGTTATAATTAAGAAAAATAGTCAAAATTAATTAAAGATAAAAGACAGTGATAATGATGTGTCAGAACTTTATTGAGTGTTTTTATGGAGGATAAATTTTTGGAGTTTTTCTTGATCTAACAACAGTATTTCCTAGAGAACTTTAATTTCTCATTGAAAGTATTGCCTTCACTGCAAACATCCTCTCTTCTTTATCTTTGCTACAAAGTAGTGCTTGAAGTATGGATTCACTGTGAGCATTCCAGGCAGAGGAACTAATATAGGGTAAAACTGTTTTCTGAACATCTAAGTTCATTTTTCGGACAAGTTCCAGCTGTTTGATAATATGGTATGGTCCGTTAGTCCATTTTTGTTTTACCTAAACATTTTTTATTAATAAAATTACCCATACACACAAGTAAAAATTATCCAAATAAACAAAAAAAAGTTCTTACCTTAATTTTAAACCATAATACAGAGTATACACCAACACAGAACTGTACAAGATATTTTAATTTCTCAGCATTGCTTCCATTTAGTCCATGATGTGAACACCAAATTCTGCAAAGCTTACTTGCCAAGTTTAAACATCGTGCTTGATTGTGGGGACATACTTGAATTTCTTTTAAATCGTCTGGCATTATTTTATCTTTAATAGTTTTTGTTATCCTGTATAGATATCTTTGATCACTAGATAAATTTTTTAAAGTATCTTCACAAATATCTAATAAATCAATTTCAATATCTATAGATTGAATTACATTAGTGGCAATTTTGAGATCATTGGCAATAGGGAAAAGTTTACAAATATTGCCAGAAAACGTATTGTTTCATATTGTTTTTCCATCAATAACTGACATTAAGTGCCTTAAAGGTAATTAATTTGTGTGCAAAGCACAAACTATCCAAATAAGTTTGATTTGAAGTTTGTTTTTTAAAAATTATATCTCCTCTACAGCCTAAAAATTACTTATTTAAATATATGCATGACATCTAACATCAAATATTTACCTGCATTTAGTATCAAACATCTACCTGTATTTAGATTGGTTGAATCACAGCC